TCAGCCCAGAAAGGAAGTGAAATCTTCTATATAGTGAGAGCAAAGACACAGACGTCCCCCAACTCCAGCCCTGTCCCTGCTGCCCTCTGTCTCAGCCTGACGCAAATGCTGCCAGAAAACAGGGTCTGGTCGGGAAGCCAGGAGGTGGGCAACTCCTTCCCCTTTCTGGGTCCCAGTTTCTCCATCTATACAGGGCATTGGGCCAGGTGATCTAAAACATCTTCTGGGGGCACCTGGGTGGCTCAGTCGGTTGGGTGTCTGATTCTTAACTTTGGCTCGTGAGACTGTGAGATTGGCCCGTGTGGGCCTGCATGCTCAGTGGGGGGTCGGCTTGGGATTTGCCCCCTTCTACCCCCACGCACTCTAAAATAGATAAATAAGCCTAAGTTAAAAAAACTCTCTTTCTGTTCCCCAAATCCCAAGATTTCCGCTTAGTGTACTCAGTGTACCAGAGCTGCTGCCCCGGCTTGCCACAAAAATGCTTTCCCATGAGAAAATGAGGAAATGCCTGTTGAGGTGCTCAACATCTTCAGCTGGGAGAGCAGAGAGGTTAAGTGACCTACCCAAGGTCACACAGCCAGGCTTTGACTCTAGCTCTGTGTGATTTGAAGTCTCAGTCACAGCAATGCAGGGTTTCGAGTTGCAGCCTGCATAAACTCTAAAATCCCACCCTAATAACGGGAAGTGGATGTGGGTGTGGACAGAGACTTCTAGGCCAGACCCAGATAATCCACAAGGCTTTGAACCACACTGAGCTCTTTCCTCAACAACCTATAGCTCTCCAAAGTCTATAACAAAGGCTGTGAGTTACCACTGACGGACGGACTGAGCACTTACTACATGCTAGGCACATGCTAAGCGTCTCACACATACTGTCTTTTCATTAATATATCTGTAATACCCACTTTACAGATGAGGAAACTGAGGCTCAGATATGTTAAGACCCTTATGTCCAAGACCACCTTGCTATTAAGAGGCAGAGCTGGTGGGGTGCCTGGGTGCCTCAGTCGATTAAACATCTGACCCGTGATCTCAACTCACGTCTTGATCTCAGGGTCATGAGTTCAAGCCCCGTGTTGGGCTCTGCACTGGGTGTGGAGTCTACTTAAAAAAAAAAAAAAAGAAAAAAGAGGCAGAGCTGGGGTTCAAGAGCCCATGTCTTCTGCTGCACAGAGCGTCATCTCACGGGGGCAGGAGAGGGTGCTTGCTGGTGGACAGGATATATTAGTAACTGTGCATTGAAAAGTAGGAAGCTTTTTCTCCTGTGCTGTTTCCCCAGCAAGGGTAGGGCCTTACCCTGCCCACCCACAACTGCCTGAATCCTCCTTGGACCAGGTCAAAGCCCCCCTTCCCTCACACCCTCACACCCCCACCCCCCGGCCCAGCACCTCCTGGGGTCACTATCTGCCTGACCACCTCTTTTTCTTCTGTAGGCCCCTCCTCCTCCAGCCCTCACACCCACCTGGCAGCTTGGAGAGGTGCGGAGTCAGAGGGTCCCTCTCATTAGAGCCGGGCCGTCCTCTGGGTGCACAACCCTGCCTTCCTTTAGGCCTTGGCCTCAGGGGCAGGGCTGAGAAAAGGGCACTGATGAAGTAAGTCCAGGCATTCTGGGGCTGGAGGTCATGCAGTGCAGAGAGCTCAACCACTGGGGAGGCCCTGGTGTGGTCGGAGGGACTGTTCTGGGGCTCTCCCTTGGGAGCAGGCAGCTACCCTGAAGTATTCGGAGCCTCAGTTGTTGACCCAACAAGGGATGCTTCCATGGTAGAGGGAAGTGAAGTGTGTGCTCCTCGCTGAAGGCCAAGGACTGAGCAGCCTTTTCTCACCCCCCGCCCCCTCCTCACCCTGCAAACCTTTATATTTCTTGCTCCTGGCTGTCAGCAGCAACAAACTAAGATTAATCACTCGCTTGCCTGCCCAGACCCAGACATGCCTTCTGTTTGAAAACTCTCTCCTTTACTATATAAATCAATGAAGGGAGAGAAGGAAGAAAAACAACTCTAACAGCAGTGTGCCCCCAGCACCCCTGGAATGCAACCCATCTGCTCCTCCTGGCTGGGCTACACCCACCACCCACCGCTGGAGCCCCGGGAAGCCTTTGTTGATGGCGACTGGCTGGCCAGCACGCAGCACAAACCTGCAGCTCCGAGCAGAGCATGAACCAGAACCAGCCGGGTGTCCTTAAGCAGTCAGAGCAGGAGGCATGTTCTGGATAAATGGTCTGACCCCCTCCTCCCCTACTTGGAGGAGGAGATGGGGCCCTAGTCTTCCCACCATCCTTGGAACCTAGGGGAAAGGCACCTCATCCTAACTGTGTGAAGCCCGTTACCTGGAAACAGATTTACTGATCAAACCCCAGGCCTTCATTCTGTGGACGCAGGAGGCAGGCACTGGCCCAAGCACCCAGGAGCAGAAACAGCCGGGCCACGCTCCCAGGGCTTCTGACCTGGCCCAGCACTCTGCCCAGTCTGCCTCTAATGTCTAATAAGCTCTGGGAAAGCTGGGAGGAGCAGACACCGGCATTACACTGAGCACCTGCTGTGGGCCACGCATCGGGCCAACCCGCAGAGTCACATTACTTCTTACAACAGCTTTATGAGAGTGGCCCATTGTTTTCCAGGCAATGATCAGGGAAGCAAAGTCACTGGCCTAGCATAACATAGCAGGTAAAAGACGGAGCCAGGATTCAAACTCAGGTTATCTCTGACTGCAGAGCCCATGTTCTTCCCTTTACATCTCAAACAGGGCTGCCCTGGAACTGCCTGCCCCTGGGATGCCTGCCCACAGGCTGCCTGCCTCCCAGGCTCTTGGATTGTGCTAGCTTGAGTGGCTGTTGGTGGGCATGGGGGAGGGAAGGGGGGCTCGGGAAGGCAGAAGTGGTGGTTTTTTTCCTGGATAATACTCATGGTGCACCCTGGCTCACTAATGGCTCTAGAATCCAGCTCTGAGGACATGACTGCACCTTGCTCAAAACCTTCAGGGACCCCTGCTACCTTAGAGGAGAGGGCCCCAAGTCCTTAGCCTGGACAGTAGGGCCGCACGTCTCCTCAGCTCCCGTGGAAGTGTTATTTGTTGTTCTTACACAACAAATAGGGTCTGCACTTCCCTGCCTCCATGCATTCCTCTGCTTGGGCTGCCCTGTCTATAGGATGACCTGCTCACCCTCCAAATACCCCCTCTTCGGATGCCTTCCCTCTTTCACAGCCCTGAGCCCTTTCTGCCTTGGGTAACCCTACAGCACTCCTGCGAGTATATGAGTTCTGGTGTACATATGCTCTCCCCTTGGGCTGTGAACTCCTCAAGGGCTGGAATCCAGTACACAAAGGGTACTGAATGGGGCAGAGCTTATGGGAGGGGATCCTAAATGATCAAGACTGAGTTGCAACTTGAGGGAAACAAGCCAGACCCCAGAAGCATCTCCTGAGGTCAGAATCTGGGCCACATCTGCAAGGGTGCTGTGCAGTTTGCCTCTGGGGATTTGAAAGCTGAAGGCCCCTTTGTGGGGGTTCCTGGGGCCATGTCTCCCACTAGGGTTGGGACTCTCACTGCCTAAAGAAAGCTGGACCTGGGCTCTTGTCAAAGGAGTATTGGTGTCCCTACGAGGACTTTTTTTTTTTTCTTGAGAGAGGGGCAGAGGCAGAGGGAGAGAATCTTAAGCAGGCTCCACGCCCACCACAGAGTCCAGTGTGGGGCTCGATCTCACGATCCTGAGATCAGGACCTGAGCTGAAATCAAAGAGCTGGATGCTTAACTGACTGCGCCACCTGGGAGCCCCCTGCGAGGCCTTTAAGTGCCACTCTGTCTGCCTGCTCCCAGGGATGGGCCCAATGCAGGCAGAGCCTGCCCCGCATCTGGGGAGGGGAGCCCTGGCACTCACCCTGCCTCCCTGCCCCCACCAGCTGCAAACCCTCATCTTTGAAGTCCTATTTCCCTCATGTCCAGATTCCTTTGCAAAAACTCATGAAACTGGAACTTGCAAAAAAGTCATTCGTAGTCCAAACTGCCTGAAGAACCCTTTTAATGAGATTTTTCAAGACTTTTCATCCCTTTCCCCTACTGCCTGCCTTTCCAGACAGGAAGCTGTTAGAGTGTGGTGTTTTCTTGCCAATATTTAAATGCTCAACCCCTTGCTTCCCTGAGGCTGGAGTGAGTGTTCTGAAGGCCAACGTGTCTGTTAGCAGCTGAGAGGGAGCGTAGTCAGGCTGGAGAATGGGAAGAGGGAGAGCTCTGTAGGGAGGAGGAGATAAGGGCAATGTTCCAAAGCAGCTAGTCAGGACCTCTGTAAGACTGCTCCATAGGTGGGGGTGTCTGCCAGGGAGGGGATCTAGAGGCAGGGGGGTGGGGAGTGCAGGTGCCATCTTGGATTGCCATGAGTGCAGAGGGCTTTTGGTGGCAGATGGCTGGCAGCGTGGGCCTGTCCCCCCACAGTGGGAAGCAGTCGCCAGCTCTTGTCAGTGTGGTCTGGGTCTTAGTCTCCCCATCCATGAAGCAAAGGCTGGATTCGATGGGCCTCTAAGGTCGCTTCCAGATGACCTCTGACCTGGTATAATTGGGAGGGGTGGGAAGAGACCAGGCTGGGAGTCCATGGCCTCCACTCCAGTCTTGGAAGTTCATTCAGCTGCCTATACCCTAAAATGAAGAAGAGGATGATGCTTTTTGTCCTAGCCACCTGGTGGGGCTATCCTGGGGCAAACACATCGGCCTTCTAAAATGTAAGGTGCTGCAGATACGCAGGGAGACAGGGTCAGGAAGTGGGGCTTAAGCATAAAGGCAGGTCCCTGAGAGTGCATTTAGTGGCTCCATCACTAAAAATGGAGTCTCAACTCCTCTGTGAGGCACAGGACCCACCAATGTCTCTTCTGTATCTCCAGGGCTTTGCCTGGGTTGTCCCCTTCACCTGAGATTCCCCCCACCTGGTCCCTGCCTGAGACCACTTACCCTCTCTTTAAGGCTCAAGTGCACCAGGAGCTTCTCCTAACCCTCCATGGCAGGGACTGCCCACCCCTGTGCCAACTCCGGGTCCCCAAGGCCTCCCGTGCAGACCTGCGTGTAAGAAGACCAGGCTGAACGGGCCAGGCTGTGAGCTCCTGTGGCCTGAGCTGAGCTGTTCTCATTTCAGCTCCCTACGCTGCCCTGCCCAGTGCCTGGTACGGGAGGCTCCGATAAATATCTGCTGAGAGAAGGACAGACGGGGTGGAGGACCCGTCCTCTGAGGCCAGATTCCCCCAAATCCTTTCTCCACCCTAGGACATCCTCACAGCAGGACCCAGGGTTCATATGAAAACATAGCTGGAATTCCAATGTCAATTTGCACCACGCTCCTGACAACACCGTGCGTGGAGAATGCCAATCCTACCCTGCCCCCACCGCGTAGGCCTCGGGGATCTGAGAGACTTCGCACCTCTCGTGGTGGCTGGCAAAGTTGGCACTCGGTCCAAGCAGCCGTGACGTTCAGTACCAGGGCCATTCCCTTTGTGGTCAAGGTGATTAATGCCAGGTATCACTCCCTGGCTGGCACCTGGTCATCATGAACTAGGGCCACTCTGGGAAGCCAGCTCACCTCCCCCTAACAGACTGCCCTGCCCAGCCATAGGATGGCCTAGCCCACCTCCTCAATTCCGGGCTTCTTCAAGGGAAATCTGACCACGTGAGACCACTCATCTGGTCTTTGGGATCTCATGGCTTTAGACAAACATGCAAAACTAAACCTCCAGCACCCGTGGGCAGAGACCAGTCATCCTAACTCAGGCCTGATGGCAGATGTTCTTATCTGGGGTTCTGGCACAGGCTGCTGGCCCTGGCCCTCAGTCTCCTCCACCTCCTCCCTGGCTTGGGAGGTGCAGGGGATCTGGCCAGAGTGCTCCACAGACAGGGGGAGGCTGAGTCCAAGGACACGGGAAATCCAGGGAGTCAGAGACACCTTGATGTCAGAGGTGGAGGAATCCTTAGCAGTCATCAAAGTCCCCATGAACAGATGTGGATGCTGAGTCCCAGAAGGAAGGAACTTGCCCAAGGTCACACAGCGAGCAGTGATTAATAGGTCAGGACTCTTGTCCAGAACTCTGGTCAACAGGTCCTCTCTGCTGCCCTTAAAAATGGCCTTTAATGAAACCATTACCGTTTCCCAGGTTGGGAAACTGGGAAAGCAGGATGGGACTGATATAAGACAGGGTTTACACTGCACTGGTTGGGCTAGAAGTGCTTTCCCTCTGGAAGAAGAGCATCGTCAGCCCCTGTGCACAGAAAAGTCTCCAAAAGGTGCTGTGACTGCCAAGGCCATAAGGCCATGGAGTGGGGAGGCCTGTCCCTTACTTTCTCCACTGCACGCATCCCCGACTCCTAGACTCCAAGCCCGTTACTGTGAAAACAGAATCAAGGTGCTGTCGGTCCCTCAAGAGCAGTCCAACCCAGGGAATGTGGCACACCCGGGATGAAAAGGAATTGCACTCTCGGGGCTGTGATGGAAATACTCTCCTGAAGACCCATCTCAGGTGGACTTTAGGCCCATCTGCATCACAAAGGGCACGTTTCACAGGAAACTGGGAAATGGATCCCGCAGGTATCGTGGTATGGTCACTTCTGCAACTGGCTGGAGAATTCCGTATATGGTCCCATGTTGCTGCTTCAGCGGTGACACATCCTGGGTACTCAGGAGGCCAAGTTCCCTTGCAGGCAGATCTGTGTTGGGGTCACCGTGGGGCCCCAGTGTCCAGCCAGGTCTGCCCAGCAAATAAATAGGAAACTTAGTGGGGCCCGGGCCCTCATGGAGGATCGCCAGGCCTGGTATGGGGTGCTCCGTCCCTCCTTCCTTGGTGCACCCAGTTAGCCATTTTGGGAACACTCCTCTGGCCAGGCCCCAGACAACAGGATTCCAGGAGGAAAGAGTCACAGAGCAACTCCTAGAGTACCAGCACGAGGAGGGCCGCTCTGAGGAAGCCTAGGGGGTGGGCAGGCTGCCTCAGTCAGCGTGGAAGGGCAGTGACGCGGGAATCCCGTCTCTGATGTCACCTGCTTCCTTTAACCTCTCCCAGCCTGGACAGCACATTGCATCTTGAAGCTCAGGAAGAATCGCTCAAGAGCTCCTGGGTTGCTAGGTTACCTTGGACAGTGAGGGAGGAGGCAGGGCTGCACGGAGCAGTGAGCTGTGAGCCGCTGAGGACCCGCTGGTCTCTGTCAGCATGGCCCGCGGCGTGCACCTGTCCCCCACAGCGCCCTCTCCTCCATCCATGATGGGCTTCTAACTCTGCTCACTTCCAGCCCAGCCTCCCAGCCCAGCTGCAGTTCAGTATTGAATTCTTCTCAGCTGAGATAACTGAACTGACTCTTCAAGCCAACGGTCTGACAGTGAACAACGAAGTACAAGTGCTGCTTGTCCTGAGTGCCCTCCCAGCTGGTTAGAAATGCCCTCCATGTTCTCCCTGACGAGGGCCATCCAGCCCCAGTTGTACACCCCCAGCGATGAGACACTCACTACCTCCTGAGGCAGCTTTGGATGGCTCTAATTCCGGAGCAGTTCTGCTTGTTAAAAAACTTTTGCTCTCACTGAGCTGGAATCTGCCCGCCCAAAACTCCCACCTGGGGACCCCCAACCACAGCTGCTCCTTCTGCCCTGATCATCCTGGAGCAATCTGTGGCTTCCACCATGTCTCCACATGTCCTCTGTTCTCCAGGCAGACTTCAGTGCCTCTGTTTGCTGCCCATGCACTGCAGCTTGTCACGGTCCCTCTCGGGGCAGAACCCAGCAGACAGGGTGGGGCCAGTCCTGAGCAGAGAGAGCAGGCCAGTCTCTCCTTCCGTGGCTACACTGCTGCTACGGTCTACACGGCCGGCAGCCACATCCCAGCAGGCCCCTTCTCTATCACATGGCCTCTAGGAACGGTGATAGAGCAGGGAGGAAGCCAGGCAGAGGGCTTCATTGCTGGTCTGTGCTGGCCAAAGGGCCTGGGGTCCTTAAACCCCAATTCTGTCACTAACTTTGTGTCCTTGGGAAATCTCTCCTCTCTAGGCCTCAGTATTCCTATCTGTAAAATGGGTTTTAGACAATCTGTTGGGTCCCATTCAGTAATAGCACTGAATGATGAAGCGCTCAAGCAAAAAACCCTCTTATTTCAGGGCTGCCTATCAACAGCGATGTTTCATGGGTCAGAAAGACCCAACAGTTTACAAAGCAGCCATAGATGACACCAGCAGGATTCTTCCTGGCTCTTCGCAGCACTCCTCACGATCTCTGTGACACACATAAAAATCAGACCTGCCCCAACAGCAGCCTGGGACACAGGGGAAGGGTTGTTCCCACAGTGGCAGTGGGCTGCCGTGGAGAGTCAAATAGCTGGTCCTGAGTCCTGGCCCTGCCCCTTGGGCCTGCCAATCCCCCCCTGTGAGCCTCAGTTTCCTCACCTGCAAAATGGGGACAATATGTTTCTCATCAGAGGACTGTTGTGAGGTTTGAGAGAGGGATGAGGTATGCTCAGAGCTTCATTTGTGTCCTGCCTTACAGCAGATATGAAAGCTATTCTTGGGTATGTAATATTAAATCCTAGGAAAATGCCCCTCCTCTTCTGGGGCAGAGAACATTAAAAACCTCCTCTGTCTCCCAGGAGAGTAAGTTCAAATTGAAAAACTGAGGCTTGAAATAACTCATGCCGGCACGTTCCCAGGGGAGGGGACACTGGCGATCTTGCTGCCACAGACACAAGAGCCAGGCTGCCGAGGAGGGCTGAGAGGGTAGATGAGGCTGTACTCACTTCAGGGAGAGGGAATAGTCGTGCTTGCTGGTCTGGCTGTTCCGGACAAGGTAGCTGCACTCCTTGCAGAGCCGCAGAAGGTTCTCGGCGTCTCCTCGGCTGATGGCTCCGTGATACCAGCTGGGGAGAAGGGAGAGGGTCAGAACCCAGCACAGACCTGACCCCCACGGCACTCAATACCCTTGCAAACTCCTTGGGGAGGCTCGGCTCCCTCGGAGGGCAGCTGGCCTGTCCCAGTGTCCTCGTCAGGAGGCAAGGGCACGTGGGTGTGGGTGTGCATGTATTCAATTCTTCAATACAGAATTATATGTCTGCTCACGTGCGATCCTGGGGAGAGCACAGTGAACAAACCGGCAGCCTCCTCCCTCATAGGGCTTACATCCCAGCTGCTACGGAGGAGACGAAGCAGGGTGGGGTGTGGTTTGGAGCTCGTGGTAGTGACTGCTATTTTAAGCAGTAGCCAGGGAAGCCTTCCTGAAGGAGTGACATTTCAGTGTGGACCGGCAGGAGGTGAGGGAGGAAGCCACAAAGGCCGGTAGCTGGGACAGAGCGTTCTGGCAGAGGGAGGGGCAGCCAAGGCCCGAGGCAGGAGGGAGTGCCTGATGAGCCTGGGAAACAGCTAGGAGGCCAGCACAGTGGCAGAGAGCCCAACGGGGTGGGGGTGGGCAGTGTGACCCATGTGGCCACCGGGCAGGGCTGGGTCAGGGTGCCTCATGCGCAGGGAGACGACCCTGGCTTTCTCCGTCTGAGTGACACAGAGGCCATCAGAGGGTGCTGACAGCAGGGACACGTGCTGCCTCTCTGTGACATCTGCGGGACAAGTGGGTGGTGCTCATCACTCAGGAAAGCAGGCAGTTGGGTGGGAAAGCCAACCGATGCTCCTGTCAAGCAAATCTGGCATCGGCTGGGAAGGCGGGAAGCCCGGCATCACTGTTCTTGGATACCACGCGGTCAGCGGCAGAATCCGAAGGAAGGGGTGCAGTGGCAGATGACCTGACTAAGGCCCCTGGCTGCAGGACAAAAGAGGAACACTGATCTTCAAGATTGGGAGAGCTGAAGGTAGAATTCTGGAGGAAGACTGAAGATCCCAAGATGCGAGTCAGGATGCATTTTTGTTTACATTACAGTGCAGGGGCAGTGGGACGGTGGCAAGACGGGGCCAGGAAGAGAACCATGGGCGCTGGATGGCCACAGAGGCACAGACCGCCCTGCCACACTCGCCAACCGGGCGGTCACGGGCAAGCAGCAGAACCTGACTGCACCTCGGTTCTCTCTCGAGTTAGGGTCACTCCACCCCCATTTTAGGGTGTGAGGATTAAATGGGAGGATGCATAGCAGGGCTTATGCAGAGCCTGGGATGGGTGAGTTTCAACAAACGGCAGCTCCGAGCATCGAGTGAATTTGCTGATGGCCATGGGTAACTCCCCCAACTGTCATTATTCAGGCTGCTGGCCACCCATAGGCTGCATTTCCAATTCCCAGGTGTAAGCAGGGGTGCTGCCGCCTCCTGGCCCTGCCCAGGAGGGCCCTGCAGACAGGGCCTCTGAGAGTTCTGTGACAGACATTCTGCATGGGGATAAACAGGGCACTCCTTACCCTGCACCCTTTCTGCCATTTACAAGGCAGCGTTCTGAACAGTTAGCAGCAGTGGTGATGACATAATGATAACCTCAGAACCCAACCTGCTTCAGGAAAGCAAGGACTAGGGAGTAGATATGAGTGTCCCTGCCCACTGAGCATGGGAGTGAGTCGCTGACTGCCTGGGAGGTGATCACTCACAGCAGGTGAGCCCTGGGGCTGGACATCTGGAGGGGAGACTCGCCAAGGGAAAGGATAGGAGGAGTGCAGACCCGCCTTCCTTTCTAAATGTATGTAGAAATGAAGAGGAATATGAAGTTAGGGATTGCAAGGGATCCCATAGTGAAAGCACTTCCAGAGATGTGAGGGCTGAAGTCACATGTTAGAAGGTATACACGACTGGAGTTTGGAGAAACAGCTAGACAAGGATGGAATGGACTTCAGAACTAAGAGTTAACAGATTTGGCAAGGTTGTTTTCTGGGAAATTTCACCCGTGTAACGCACACCCGGTGAGCTGACAAACATGTTATTTTATTAGGAAAACAAGTTCCAGCCATTTGAAGCAGAGCCATCCTCAGGGAAAGGCCTAGAAGAGGTCTCCAGGGAAGTGCTGTCTGCCCTGCGCCTCTCCCTGAGCACAGGAGCTGAGCTGGTGGCAGATGGCCTCCAGAGGCTCGGGATCCTGGTGGAAGGTAATGCCTGGAGGGTCAACAGGATAAGCTGCTGGCTCCTTGCCTACTGCCCCAGCTACTGCACACAGAAAGTCAGGGACTTGGGTCGAGATTCACAGGAGACCCAAGCTAGTTTGGGAGAAAAGGGCCAAAGGACATGATCAGGGGGCTGGGGCCAGCCACTGGCCAGCTGGCTGGCATGAGGTTGGGCACCAGGAGACAGGGTGGGCCTGGGTGGTCCCGTGGGGGGCTGAGGGCCAACTGCTGGGCCCCAGCAGGCTCTACCTAGACTGAAAACAGAACCTAAGCAGGAGGCACTCTGGGGATGTGCTGGATTTTGCAGAGCTGGCCAGTCAGGCCAGAATTGTGGGGATTGAGAAGACCCAACCATTGCCATCCAGCCTATGCAGTACCCATTAGCTCACCCAATGTTTCCTCACCGCTGACTACATCCTTGATCTCATGGAGCTGATGCAGGGAAGAGGGAGAGTCAATGAACAGATTTAGGACACAATTTCAGAAAGTGACAAGTGCTATGTAGGAATCCTGAGTTTGTGCTAGACAGTGACCGGGGCAGGGAAAGTGCCTATGTTAGAACGAACAGACAGAGGAGCCTGCAAGGAGATGACATTTGACCTGAGAATCTGCATCGTGAGAAGGAGCCAATCATGTAAAGAGCCCAAGAAAACACGTTCTCTGCAGAGGAACTAACGACTGCAAAGGATCTGAAGTAGAATGCACTGGGGATGTTCACAGAGCAGAAAGGCAGCAACAATGCTCCAGCTCTGTGAGCATGAGGAGTGCTACAGGATGAGGGTGGAATGGGAGGCAGAGCCCAATTCCCTGAGGCCTGTGAGCAAGGGAAGAAGTCTGATTTCATTCTAAGCATAGCAGAGGGCAATGTGTTTTAAAAAAAGGATGTTACTTGCTCTCGATGGTCTTGCCAAAGGCCAACCAAGTTCTCCTGAAGAGGGGCCAGAGGGGAAGTGAAGTGGGAGACGAGCTAGGGGGGCTTCTGCGGTGGTACAGACGGGAGCTGGTTCGGGGACAAGAGGAACAGATGGACTCAGCCTATATTCTGGGTGGAAAACTAGCAGAAGTTGCTAGTTTAGATGCATTAGATGCTAGTATAAGGCAAAAAAAAGGGAATCCAGAGGACTCCAGATTGGTGGCTTTAGCAAGTAGGTACATGTGATGCCATTTATGGAGGTGGGGAAGCTGGAGGAGGAGCGACTGTCCGGAGATCAGGAGCCCAGTTTTAAACACACTAAATTTGAGATGTCCATTCGTCAGCCAAGTGCAGATGCCAAGACAGCAGCTGGATGTAGGAGTTGGGGGTTCTAGGAGAGGTGTGGGCCGGGGATGCACACTGGTGACTCACCACCAGGATCCTGAGGAGACTACCCAGTGAGAGCATGTAGCTGGAACCTGAGCCCCACACAGTCCAACTTCCAGGTAAAGCTGAGGTGAGGAGCCAGGAGGGGAGACAGAAGAGGTGGCCAAGGAGGCAAAGGAAAAACCAGGAGCAGAGTGGGTCTCCAAAGGAGGGAGCTGTCTACTGCACTCAGCCAGAGAGAATGGGAGGTGATGGAAGAAGAGTGTTGACAGCTCTTTGGGGACTTCATCCATTTCCTGGACAGCACCTATTACGTGCCAGGCACCATTCTAAAGCACCGAGGATTCAGTGGTGACCCAGAGAAGGTTCTGCCCTCACAGAGCTTATGTTCCAACAAGGGCAGGATGCACGCTGGATCCAGCCACTTCTGGATCATTATTTTGCTTGTTGATTAAAAAGGACATAGTGATCAGAAATAAGCAACACCTACCACCCCGTCTGGGTAGCTGTGACAGAAGGTTAGCAAAGACGCCCGCTGGGAGCACTCCCCCACGTGCTTAGTACAGCAGGCACACGGTGTCACGAAGGAGGCTGAGGCCCTCCCCAGATGATAGCACGTGCTGAAAGGGGGCACACAGCACATGACATCATTCGGAAAACCCTGCATCCTGCTCACCGAGTGAGCATTTCCTGTGAGGGATGCACTGCCGGCTATGCTGAGGCCAGAATCCCCCGCTGGAGACTAATATAGTACATGACACACATGGGACAGTCTCAGGAGGGATCGGCTTGCTGTCAGCTCATCTCCTGTCTTTACGGCGTGCCTACTCTGTCAGGCGTGTGTGAAGGCTTGGGGAGAAGAGTGTGTATGGGGAGGGGGAGGAAGGGGAGAGTGTGGGGCCAAGTCACAGGGCTGGAGTTCCAATCCTACCTCTGCACTGGGAGCTGTGACATTCTGGCCAAGGCTCTGTGTCTCTTGGAGTCCCAACTTCTCATCTAAGTGACGGGGATGATAACCCCATTTATCGCATATTTGCTTATTAAGAAGATAATACACCTGAAAGTATCAGCACAAGACCTAGGACCTGCTTCATCAAGTCTCTAGAGAAGCTGGCTGGAGTCCAGGTGTATGGAATGGTGAGAAATTGAAAAAGCAGTGTGGGGGCAATTCACAGAGCAAGCGGCAGGCTGGGGAGATGAGACTTTATCCTGGAGGTGATGGGGAGCCAATGAAGGTTTCAGAGCTGAGCAGGGACCTGCGCATAGTGAGAAGGGAGGTCAAGGGCGGGGTGGTAAAGGGCCTGACTGACAGTGTTGGGGAAGAGCAGGGAGGGAAGGGGGCAGCAGGGATGGGCCTGGGCCACCGACTGGAGGTGGGAAATCTCAGGGGAAAGGGGCTGAGAAAACCCAAATGAAGAGCATCAAAGCCAGGAGCGTCTGGGTGGCTCAGCTGGTTAAGCAGCTGCCTTCAGCTCAGGTCATGATCCTGGAGTCCTGGGATCAAGCCCCACGTCGGGCTCTGTGTTCAGAGCGGAGCCTGTTTCTCCCTCTCCCTCTGCCCCTCCCTATTCATAGTCTCTCTCTATCTCTCATGCTCTCTCAAATAAATAAATTTTTAAAAAATCTTAAAAACCCCCAGAACATTTGAGTTAAAAAAAACTCTCCCTCTGCCCCCCTCTTCTCTCAAATAAATAAATCTTAAAAAAAAAAAAAGTGTCAAAGCCTTGCTCAACAAATACCAAGCAGATGTGAGGCAAAACTATCACTGTGGCTAACAAACAAATCTAATTTATAGCAGTCAAAAGTAGGGGCGGCGATACGGCATGGAGGGAGAAAGCCCAGGGGTAGGAATCAGGAGACTTGACGGTGGCCTTGACATTCTCTCAGGCTTAACAGTGACTGTACAGACTGGAGCTGAGGCTGGGCCTTGATCCCTTAGAACTTACATTTGCTTTTCCAGTGGGACAGCAGGATCCACTCTTTCTCCCAAGATCCCACAGAACTCAGGGCTCCCATGCTTGATGGGCTTGAAGGCCCCTCCCGGAGCTCGAAGCTGGCGCCGCCGGTCCCGGGAAGGCGAGGGAGAGGATTGCCGTTTCTCGTTGCCGTTAAACTGGGCTGTGGGGGAGAGAAAAAGCACGCGGTCACCAGAGCTCAGCCCGACGGATTACTGGGTGGTGCAGAGTGGGGTAATAGCCGATTGCTCCCCTTGGGGCTTTACGATTCACAGGGGGAAGAGCTCCTGGCAATTAATGAACATGGCTTAAAACGCTTGAGTTTCCTGCAGCAGGTGCTGTCACAGCCAGATGGTGCATTCAAGGGGCTGGCTGAGTCTCCCTCCAGAGGCCACTGAGCTCAGCCTTATCCCCAAAGGATGCCCCCTGCAATCTCCAGCAAGGGGGCGGGGCACGGCACTCCCACTGGGGCTCAGTCCCCTGGACAGTTCTCAGGGAAGCAGCTGTTCCCCATCTTCTGCCTCCAAGTGGCTCCTCTGCTCCCATTCTTCCCACCGCCCCCCAGGGCATACTGGCCACATCTGCCCCCTTTCTCTCGGGATGACCCTACAGAGTTCCAATCAAGGGCCATGCTGCATCCCCCACATCTGCTCCTCTTCATTCAGTGCCCTCTGCATGGGCCCCACACGCAGCGAGCCTGGTCCCAGCACCAGGTGAGGCTGAAGCAGTGCGCAGCATAGTGGGCAGGCCCTGCCATGTGCCTCCGCCCCGCCCTGCGCCTGTGAGAGCATCGTTTACCTCCACAGGCCTGGGGAGGATACCTCTCGAGGGCAGGACCTCAAAGCTAGCCCACAAAGAGCAGAAAATACTGAGCTGAACCTGGAGTTGCCAGAAGCATTCCTAGAGACCAGTTAGTCTACCTTGCAAGTTCTCTCTCTGATGACTGTACCCACCTCATGGGGTTGTTGTGAGGATTCAATCAGGTGATGTCACCCAGATCTTAGCAGAGTGCCTGGCATGCAGTCGCTGCTCAACTCATGTTATTATATTTACTTTTATTATCGTCTCTGTTCAATGAGGACACGGCACTAGGTACTTCACATAAGCTTCCGAACCAACCTGAGTTCCTCTTCCAAGCTTGCCAGTAACTTGCTGTGTGCCTTGGCTAAGCTACTCAACCTCTCTGAGGCTCCATTTCCTACCTCACCATGTAACTGCGAAGATCAGATGAGAGAACACATCGTAAGGGCCCAGCACACAGAGTGCCGAGTGAATGGGCCAGGCCCTGCGGAACAAGGCTCTCAAAGCCAGGTCCGGTTGCAGGCCACAGACACACACTGGCAGGAGTCTCCTCTCCAAAGAGCAAGCACAGATGTGGTGAGCTGTCCTCTACCCTGGCCAGACACACGGCAATCAACCTCCCATTCACGAAGAGGGCGGGAAACCCCAGCCCCGACTGAGGTGGTGTGCTGTCTATGGGACTCTGGAATGTGGATGAACTTGTTCTATGTCTCAGCTGCTGAGCAAGATCATCCATCAGGACCGCAAAGCATTTCCATCCCTCCAAGACACTCTTCTCCATTAACCACTATGGAAAGCAATGGGAAGGGAGGTTCCTGCCAACGGAAGGCTCTAGACATGCTGGACCCATGTGTGCGCGCTCACTCTCACGACTGAGGCAAAGGCCGGCGGCCTGTCCATGCACCTGCCCCACTCAACACTCCCTCACATGTGCCAGGCAAGCTAGGGCTGGAGAAACAGAGAAATCCCTGCCTGTGAAGCTCCGAGTCTGAGTGGGGACAGACACAATAAATGCACACCAGCTGCAGTAACTGCCGTGGACAAACCTGCGGGAAGGACATTCCAGGCAGAGGGAAGAGCAAGTTCAAGGGCCCTGAGGTGGGAACGTGCCTCAGGTGACAGAAACAACACAGCCCAGGGGGAATGGAGGGCAGTGGGAGGAAACAGTATCAGGTCATCGGGCGCTGTGTCTTTGATTTTATTCTGAGAGAAATGGGGAGCCACGCTGAGGTTTTGATGGGGAGGGTTTTGACCCGGCATTTTCGAACAGGACTGCTGTGCTGAAAAGGGATGGGAGGACGGGGGTAGATGGGAACTCTCTGCACTTTCTGCTCAATTTCGCCGTGAACCTACAAATGCTCTTTAAAAAGTTTATTAATTAAAAGAGAGAGAGAGATGCACAAGAGCAGTGAGGATGGTCGAGCAGGCTTTGTCTGTGCATTGGGAAAGAGGATGGAGAGGCTATAGGCCTATGGCCTGAGCACTGGATGGATGGGGCTGGCATTCTTCAGGAGGTGAAGGTTCACAGAAAACTGTACTTAAAATCTGTGAGGAAGCAGGAGGGAGGCCAAACTCCAACCTAGAGACACCCCCAGCCTGTGAGGCCAGGACCAGCAGTAAAGAGCAGGGACAGAGTGAGGACTCGCTGGGGGCTCTGCCCTCTTCTCGGGCTACAGTTCTTTCCTGGGTCCCAACCACGGGACACACAGCAATGACAAGGCCCTCTAACATACAGGTCCTGGGGTTGGGTGTCTGAGAGAGCCCTCTTCCATCTGGTCAATAACCTGGGCTTGCATGGTAGTAGTGAGAGGGTGAAGCCTAGAGCTGGGGCCCCAGCACACATGTCACCGTGGGCCCCTGCCTGGCTTCCCAGCATCCCGGCTCTCCCACCAGGGCTCCTCCTGCTGAACCACACCAGCCCTGGGCTTCATCTAGGCAACTAGTAGCCCCACGGCAACTAGTCAAATGGCATATATGTTCTTGGGTAGGGGGGTTAGGAAGAGGTGAGCCATCTGTCTCGCAGAGTCCTAGATGGGTAACCTTGGGCAGGGGTGAGCACTGGGATCAGGTGGACAGGTAAGGGCCCGGTCACACAGCCCTTTTCTAAAGAGCTGGGTCTTAATCCGATGGATGGGTCGGTCAGGGAATGTCATTCTCAGATTGGGTTTTAGAGAGGTCTCTGACTACTGATGGAGATGGGATGTGGGGGGCAACCAGGGAGGCAGGGAAACCAGTTAGGGAAGGTAACAGAGGCTGAATCCCTCTGTGATGGGAGGGATGTAGGAGGTGATGCCAACAGGACTCGACTACTCACGGCCTGAGCCAGGGAAGGCCCCTGTGTGATGCTCCACTGAGAGGAGATCCGGGGTGCAGTAGGAGAGGGGGGCCAGGGACCATGGGAACAGCGTGTACTTTTCCTCGGTCCCTCTCTCTGCTAACTTTCTGTCAGGAATGGAGGGAGGCTGCTGAGCAAGCCCCTGGCTCCTGGGGTCTATGAGTCCTGAGATGGGCAGTGAAGAGGCATGATGTGGGAAGGGGCTGGGGGGAGACGAGGTTCTAGGCTCGGTTTTGCCATAGGCTAAGGAAAGGGAGAGATGAAATGAATTGTAAGACATGTTCACCTCTGACTAAAATCAGAATTCGGAGAGTTCTGCCAATATAAAACCCCACACATACCTCCTGGCACAGAAGAGGGAGGACAGACACGAAACATGGAACACCATCTATAGAAGGAACCCAAGCTCTTCAGCACAGCCCATGACCCAGCTGCCTGTCCAGCCTCAGGCCTCACCACGGCCACTTCAAGGCCATGTCTTCTGCCTGAACTACCACCACCCCATCCCCTTCTACCAGTCTCCTCACCTAACTGACTCCACTTGCCCTTCAGGGGCCACCTCTTCCAGGAAGCCTTCCCTGACCTCACCCCCTCCCCAGACTCACCTTGATTTCAGTCTATGGCCTCCTAATGGCCAGTTTCCTGGTCTGGAGCCCCATGAACCCCTCAAGAGCAGGGGCCGGTACCACATATGCCTTTGTGCCCCTTGCCCTAGCACATGCCTACAACCTACCAGGTACCCAATGAATGACTGAATAAAGAAAATTAATGAGCTGTTGTTTCACTTTATTGGAAAAAAATATTGGTTTTCATACCAGATAAACTCGATAAAACCTAATAACATCCCAGTCAACACTGTAATTCCCCACTGAATTAATTTATACATTCACTTGCAAGCTTAATAATATAGCCATATATTTCAGAGGGAACAGGTGGTGATGAATGACAGGCTTAATTAGGCAAATTATTTCACCTAAAATAAAAAACACAAACTCCAAGTGCAGTGATTCAGCAGCAAAAGAAAAAAAAAATTTAAGAACAAAAGCTCCAAACACAACTGCTTTCATTCCTTCTAATTTTCTCTTTAATCTGCAATTTAAAATGGCAATTCTTTTAATTTAGTGATTTTCTGCAAAAGATAAAGACACAAACCCTCAAAAGAATATCTGCATTTAGAGAAAAAATATGTCACCCCTGTGAGTCATTAGAATGACAGAACCTAATTAACTGCACCTATAGGCAATTACAAATGGAATCAGAGTTGTGCAGGAGGGAGGGGAAGCTCAGGGGGCGGGACCAGGCCCTGGGAGACAGTGGGAGACATGGCCCCACTGATGTACCACCAGCCTGTCTCCAGGGCAGGTGAGGAGGCCCCTTCTCCATGCCCCAAATGTCCTTCCAAAAATTCCGGTCTAATGACAGGCCTCAGCCTTTAAAGACCCAACTCAGGTGCTCCCACTGCTGTCCTTCCAGGCCTTTTTTCCATCCACATTAGCATCCAACTTTGGTGGTCCCCTTCCTACTTGTAGGATAGATTTTATACCAATCGGTTCTGACGTTCAGTCACTACCAATAATGGATGACAGCATCCCAGGTACTCACGTTGGCTCGGACTCTCACAATAGCCCCGCCACCCTATGGGTGATGGGTGAGGGATGGGGACTCAGAGGTGAGAAGGAACTTACCTCAAAGGGTCTCAAAGCTAAGGGGTGGGGGAGACCAGGCTTGAGCCCAGGCCGTGGGTCACCAGGGTCAGCTCCCCCTCGGCCCCCTCAGGTCCTTCTTCCCTGTGGTCAGGCAGGGGCTGTGCACCCCTCATTCAGTCTGTGGTGTGCTTCCCACCTCTAGGCCTGGAATGACCACCCTCCCGCTCCATCCATAGGACATCTAGAAGCTTCCAAGACCTGGCAAAAAGCCACCTCTCCACAAAGCCTCCCCTATCCTGCCTGCTGAGAGCCCCTTCCTCCTCAGAAGCACTTGGCACTTGGCTTGCAGCTCCATGGCACCACATCCTACTCCTCCCCAGT